GGTGGGGTAAGGTAAAGGGGGGCTGAGCATTTCAAGTTGTTGGTATAATTGCAGATGCATTGAAAAATTTTAATGCCACATTTCAAGGGGCTTTAATTTAACATGCTTACTGTCAATTTCCTCACTAATTCTCCTGCTGTTATCACAAGTCATCCTAATTGTTCTGGGCAGGTTTTGGCAACAATTTGTGAGGAGCTATCCCCTGATGGAGTTCTCTTAATATACTTGTCAGCTTCAGGTAACACAAAATTTCTTCAATCCCGGTTTCTGTTTCTTAGTGTTTTCTTTCTTCCTCTTTTATTTGGGTAGGGGGGCAGGGGGCATGGCATATAACTAGAATGTCAACTACTCATGTCTCTTGCATATTCCTTCAGGAAGAACTGGACACACAACTTTGTCTCCCTCAAGCTCTTCAACATGTATCAACATTGTGGAGAACATTGTGAACTTCCAGTCACATACAATCAACTCAGGTGGAACCTCCAATACTTCATTTAGCTCACTAGGTGATAGCCTTAAGCCTTCCATAAGTCAAAATAAAGGAGACTGCATTGATCCCCATACTAGTTGCTTGCAGTTTGGTAATCATGGAAATGGAGGTACTTTACTAGAGCATAGAATGAACTCATGTTATGCCATCTAATTTATTCATGATGCTCCTATGCTACTAAAATGTACCTAACATGAAATAACTTTTACCAGGATTCAATTGCATTTACCCTTCTGACTTGATTCCATTTACAAGAAGACCACTCTTTATAATCATTGACAGTGACATCAGTGAGGCATTCAAGGCAAGTGGTTGACTGTTATACTTTTAGAGAACTAAGAAATTGATGAAAAGAATGTGTATGAAGACTTGAGAAAATTTTCTTTACCGTCCATATCTTCAGAGTTTGATGCTGAATTAAGGCATATCTTCTAGTCATTTGGTAAAATGATCAGCAAGGAATTGCACTTGCACTTTGGCTGCATAATTGTGGTATTTTCTCTGTAAGGTATGTTTGACTTCGAAAGAAACTAGGATGTTTCATGATCTTCAACAAGAGGTTTTAGTTGGTGTAGATAATCAACATTGGTGGCTGAACGGGATGCAACTTTATTTAGTTGAACTCCTCTTCTGTTTTATATATACGGGACTGTTAAAAAAATGAATTGCCATTGTTCCAAAATAAAATTTTACTGTTATGATATATAGTTATATTATTTGTTCATCTTTAATGATTTTATCGGGTCTTTTGCAGGCTATTCATGGAGCTGAGAAAGGAGAAAAAGCTGCATTGCTTCTATCCCCAAGTTGTTCAATTCCTACTGCTGCTGGCATCTCTTCTCGTCACTCAATTGGTAGCCTATTCACCATCTTCCTCACAGCTCCATTGCATGCTTTTCTTTTCGTGCTTGATATCCCAGGTTCTGATATAGAAATGGTAAGAACCGAATCTTCTACTGTTTTATGTGCTGAAGTTAGTTCAGTGTTGCTAATGAAGGGAAAATTCTTAGGAAACATATAATCAGGCTGAGAGCCTGCTCTCTTCATCCTTGAATGACTGGGGCCTGACCTTGGCAACATCAGAAACTCTTGATCCAGTCTGGGCACAGATTCTTACAGATCCATTCCTAAGAAGACTTCTTCTGAGGTATTCTTCTTCTTTGCGTTTTAATAATTTTATATTTTGCAGATGGACATATTAATCATTTAATGATTAAAAAACTTGACTGAGCATTGGTCTTTACATGTTCTATTAGCTATACTATTGACAATCTTCTCTTTGTAGCTCATGCTAGATTCTGTTTTTACCACTTTGAAGAATTTGACGAGAGTTCACAACTTGTGAGATGTACCTCTTTACCATCAGGGGATGGGTTTTTCTTGTTTCTTTTTCCTTGTTTCCCCTCTTCAAATATTTCAGTAAATTGAATGAGTAAGAATAGTACATGGTACTGTATCTGGGGATGGGAACAAAATCTCAATTATTATCTTAAAGTGAACACTCTTTAGAATTGATTCTTTGCTTCCTAATTTCCCTAATAGTTCTTATGAACCATAGATATCTGTATTTGAGGTTGTTGCGCCTTTTTCTGGAATTAGCTATAATTATCTGTCCCGCATACACATCTGCAGGTGACAATGGTTTTAATCTTGTTCCTTCTTCGCCTTGTTTTATCCATTTTGCAGATTTATGTTTTGTCGAGCAGTGTTGACATTATTTGCAAAAACATTTGACAAGAAGGAATTTCATCCCCAATGTCTACCTTCTCTTCCAGAATCTGTCTCACCAATGACTAATGTGTCCCAAACTGTAGTTCTCCACCTGGCCAGCATTTTTGGTGCCACCAACCGTTTTCTTTTCTCGGAAGGGATTGCACTTACCGAAAGTAGAGAAACTGATACGGAGTTGATTTCATCTTCATGAAGCATGTTTTTTTATAAAAAAAAAAAACAAAAGGAAGAAGAAGAATTTGTATTGAAAAAAAATGTGAATTCTGCTTTGGTTTGATTCCTTTTATTGATGGGTTAATCATGTGACCTTGGCTGTGATGTCTATGAAAATGTTCTTGAAACGACACTTTTTTTTTTCCTTTTTGTTTTTTTATTTTATTTTTTTAAATCTCTTTGCCATGCACTTCTTTACCTCGCTTAGTTTAACCTTTTGGGGTTGTAAACGATTTTTCTTCACGACAGCTTTTGTTGGTCGCCAATTTGCACTTTGTCCAAGATTTCCTCAGTTTCACACCAATAAGCTTAATCTAAATATTTTAGGTTAAACCAACCCTTTATAGTTTAATGATTCATTTTTAAGTTTTAATATTTCGATAAAGTTAATTAGAAATTAAACTCTTATGAACTACTTGGCCTACGGGTCATTAGTGTTTTTTTGATCCATGATTAGCTCATTTTTTCCTTTTCTCTATAATTGTTTTTATTCAAAAAAAAAGAAAAAAAAAAAAACTTTAGGTCCATTTGGTTTGGTTTGTTTTGCGGAAAATAATCTTATGTTGAAAAATGCCTTTTTCATTTTTCCAAATATATTTTCTGGTGTTTGGAAGATTATGGGAAATTTTATGCGAAAAAAATTTTCTCTTGTTTGGTTTCACTAAAAAATCTTAAAATTTTTCTTAACTTCAGCCCCTTAAAAGTCTTAAATAAAATAAAATTTTAATAATAAAAAATAATTAACCAAAAATTGGTCGTTATCAAGCCGTGCCCTTCCCCTATAAGGAAGATAAGATGAAGAAAATAACGAAGAAGATGACACGTGGACCGACATATTAAAAAATTTTGCTGAAGTGGCAGCCACCTCAGATTCATCCTGCTTTTCCATTCCAAGTTTTCGTCCTTCCATTCATTTTCTTACCCCCACAAGATACTCCTTCATTCCATATATATCCTTCTTCTGTCACCGGATCAGAACCATAATAAAAAAAGAACCTTACATTCAGATTCCCAATCATATCAAAAGTCACAGTACACCACTCAGGAGTCAGGACAACGCCATGGGACAAATCTTGGACAAATTTCACGGTATTGTTTCTATATCTCTCTCAACCTATTTCTTGTATCCATGCATCTGGGTCACTCCTGATCTAGGTTTTTTCTTTTGGGTTTAACATTACTTGTTGGTGAGGCTTTTTCTAGTAGCTTTATTTTTCTGTGATTTGGTAGTAGCTTGAAATGATCTTGTATTTATTTGATGGTGTAATTTAACACTTTGAGCAGGGAAGCAATGGAGACAGAAACAGATTAAGAAAATATCTGATAAGGTGTTTGAGCGCATCAAAAATCAAACAGGAAGTGCTAATTTGAAATTTGAAGATCTATACATCGCCATCCTCCTTGTGTACAAGTAAGGGATTATTGTTTTCATTTTAATGATTGCATGTTAGTATATGTATGAAAAATCAACACTTTTTCCATGAATGAATATGATATTGCAATTTTTAGTCCAAACTGGCTTACAAAATGTCAGTACGGGCTGGAAATGACCAAAATGCAAGTAGAATCTCTGAATGTTTTATTCATTAATGTTGTAGTGATATTAACAAGCATCTGCCTGGACCCCATTTCGATCCTCCTCCTGAGGAAGAAGTTAGAGCTATCATGCAGGTAAGCATTTGATTTGCATTTTGATGATGATGAAAATCATGCCACTCTGTCAGTATTTGATTTGCAAATTATAGGTATGATATGAGTTTGTGTTTGTGGTGACCAGTCTGAAGCTGCTGCCTGTTTTCTTGCACTACTTACATGTTTGGAGTTGGATTTCATAGTAATTATTTCCAAATATAACATTATGTTTCGGTTGAGGGAAATGAAAGTGAGGGGAGGGGAGGGGAGGAAAGCCCTTTGCTTTATTTTTTCTTTTAAGTCATTTACTTATCCAAATAAGGAGAGAGGTGGGAAATGGAGGGATACAACATCCATCCATTCCCCTCAGCTCCCCTCCCCTCCCCTTCCCTCTGTTCCCTTCATACCAAATATAGTGTAAAGGAAAAGAACCAAAATGATTTGGTAATTGATAAAAGGGTGTCAATGCAAATAGAAGCACATGTAATTGTTGAAGATAAAAGCTATCATTTTGAATCCTTTTTCTGAAAGAAAGCTTTTGATAGACATTCAAGTTAAATATACGCGGTTTGTGATTTGTGTGTAGTGATAAGTGAGAAAATAATAGGAAGTTTCAAAACCTTTGACTCAGCCAACAATGTCAAATTTGGAGAGATTAAAATCAAAGAAGTAGCAGTGCTTCTTAGACCCAAATAAAATTAGAAATATTCATTAAAATCTTATACTTCTATGGGGTATTTATAATTTTGTGCCATCATACTTTTGGTCTGCATGCGGTTTTCTGTTTGCAGATTGTTTTCAATTAGATGTAGTTGACTGCCCTCAATGCTTCCTCATGTCAATTTTTAAAGAAACACAAGCCTTATGTGATCTAGGCATCCATGATGTGTTTTTTTGTTTTATTTAATTACATGTGTAGATCTTGAAACCTTTTTAAGGTTGCTTGCATGCTTGTAATTCTTTGCTAAAGAATAATGACTTCACCTTACCGTCATTAGTTAATTTATGAATATGGGACCATTAATTTTATACTGAAGGAAAAGTTCACAAGATTTATTTAAATAATCATAGTCTTCAATTGTGCTCTTTGTTCAGGCTCTGGGTGTAAATTAATGCTGAATCTGTATAAATCATTCTCAGTATGAATCATGGGAAATAATGTTACTCTTTGCTTGTTGTCTATCTCCCTTTTCTCATTTCATTTGGTTTGTACGTTTATTGAGAAAAGATCTCTCTAGCACATAACCCATATGCAGGGTGTTTTTGCTCCTGCACTTCACAATTTGTTTAAATAGTCTTTCTTTTCTTTTCATTTTTTCAAAGGAATTTCTCCATACCTTGATCGAAACTTAATAGAACCACAGATAAAGATGGTTAGTTTGTTTTGATATGCAGGAGTGTGATATCAACCTTGATGGGGAGCTCGACCATGAAGAATTTGTAAAATTTATTCAGCAGCTTACGTCTGATACAGTCATTGTTGTTAGTCAGGGACTAATAGTCACTTTGGTTGTTGCACCAACTGTTGCTATGGCCACAAAAAAGGCTACTGAAGGTGTCCCTGGTGTCGGGAAGGTGGTTCGAAGGCTACCGAATTCTGTATATGCATCCCTTGTCACTCTTGCAATAGTTTGGTTCCAAAGTTCACGCCAACAAATTTAATTGCAGTGTTCATCTCTTGGCTGTAAAATAATCTCGCGCTGTATGTCAAGAAGGATTATCTGCTTGTAAATTTTAGAATAATTTCTTGGCAAATGGCTTAATAACCAGGAGGACAGTATTTGTGGAATTTGTGTGTTAATAATACATGCATCTTTTCAACTACTTTGAGAAGGTCCCTCATCACCTTATTAATCTTCCATCTTTCTACCTAATGCAGAAATCAAAGGTTTGTTCAGTTGTTCTAGAACTTTAGTTCTGCTACCTCTCTTTTGTAGTAAACTCAGAGAAATCAAGGCTCGGTTCTGGAACTTTCTCAGTTTTTGGAACGTTGTACAATCCAGAAGAAGACCGCCAACTTTCCGGTTCTGATATGTGTTTAATTTTTTTTTATTTTTCCATCGGCCAATAAAAAACTTTACTATTAAGAGGACAGTGGGTGTTTCACCCCATTTACACCTACAAACTAGCTCAAACAGAACAACAAACCATCCAACTTAAAACAATAAACACAAGTAGAAAAGGCAAGTAAACAACAAGACTAAAATAAAGGAGCAAGACAAGAAGAAATGATGGGCTTAATTTAATAAATCATCTATTAATTATTAATATTTTTTTTGTTTTAAGTCTATAGTCTTTATTTTTTTAAAAAAATATCATCTATTAACTTTTAAAATTATTTAATTCGGTCACTATAACACAAATCTATCAGTAAGATTAACAAAAGTCCACATGATTGCTTACTTGACACTGCATAAGTCGCCATGTAATCATCAAGTGGCCTGAATAATGTCATTTTCATTATTTTAATTGAGTTTGTTTTAATTAGATTAGATTATAATTTAATTATTTAGTGTAATTAGGTTAGGGAAACAAGCAGGTAGGAATTTTCCCTCCACTTTCAGCCACGTGATGCTTATGTGGTAGCTTATAGAGCACCCCATAAGCAATGACATGGATTTTCGTTTTTTTACCAAAAAAGACATGGATTTTCATTAATCTAATTAATAGAATTGTATTAAGTAGACGAAATTAATACTATTTTAAAAATTAATAAACGACTTTGAAAGAAAATAAGTATTCTAAACTAAAATTTAAAAATGTTAATAATTAGTACACGATTTGTCAAATTAACCCGAAATGATACGATCACACGGCTTCTTCCCTGATCATGCTCAATGTGATTACTGCATGAAATTCCAAAAAACTATTTTAATGGTAAGCAAAAACACCCAGTAAAATATAGGTGTAGGAACTCAAAAGACTTTGGTAATGTTGCGGTGGTCCTTCAGAATTACCTGTGGTAGTGCCAACGTCCATGTCATGGGGTTGGGTTTCATCTGATAACTTTTCCAAGTGGCGATCCGTTAAGGCCAAAACTTCAAATCTGCCCTCTCAGTTAAACACGACAATCACCCTTCAAATTAATTAAGTTGAATAAATTATTCTAAATTTAACTATTAACATTATATGACATTAACTTTCCCGTTATTACTAAAAAATATAAAAAATGCCATGTAAGTAAAGAATTAAGGAAAAACTAATGTTATGATGAAAGCAATTAGATTTAAAGTTATTTGTTCAACCTGATTAGTTAGTGAGGTAATTTGTTTTTGTATTTAGTTTAAGAGTAAACTTATCTCTACTCTCATTATTTAAAGCACAAATTTAGAAGTTTGGTCATCTACTAAATTTAGAATTTAATTTAAGAATTTTCTTCCGTTATTATTGGTAGGCAGAAGGTGCAATTCAGCCCCTGTACCTGCAATGTTGTGGCAATTCAGCCCCTGTGCAAGAAACACTGGCAAATCAGCCCTTCTACTACATGAAA